ATGCCACAAGTCGGGCCTGGCGCGGTGGCTCATGCCTCAAATCCCAGCACTTTGGGAGGCCGCGGTGCGTGGATCACCTGAGGTCGGGAGTTCGAGACCAGCCTGGCCAACATGGTGAAGCCCCATCTCTACTAAAAATACAAAAATTATCTGGGCATGGTGGCACATGCCTGTAATCCCAGATACTCGGGTAGCTGAGGCAGGAGAATTGCTTGAAACCAGGAGGTGGAGGTTGCAGTGAGCCGAGATCGCGCCATTGTACTCCAGCCTAGGTGACAGAGCAAGACTCCGTCTCAAAAAAAAAAAAACAAGCCACAAGTCTTGCCAATGTTCAGCTGCTTTTCTTGAATCAGTGCCCATTTGGTTCCTGCAAGCCTTTGGATAATTTCTAGAGTTCTCAAAGAAGTTGATTCTGACTAATATCGCCAGTTTTCTTGCTGTTTTGGAGGGAAGAACTTTTGGAGGTCCTTCCTCTGCCATTTTTCCTGATGTAACCTTCATGATTTCCTTTTATCTCTTCTGTTCACTTGTTAATTTTACCTTTTGCAAGTATATTTTTAAAAGTATATTTTTAGTAGTTGCTCCGTGGTTTATAAATACATTATAAAACAATCTGTCTTCAATGATATCATATTGCTTCACATGCAGCATGAGAACCTTTTAACAGTACACTCTGAATTCTTTCTTCCCGTCCTTCCTGCTTGTTGTACTTTTAAATCTGGTGTAAACACTTAATATGCTGTGGCAGATTTTGCTTTTGATGGCTAACTTTTAAAATTTCAGGTATAAAATATTTTTTTTAACCTTCGATTATCTCATTTGTGATACTCATTTCTTTGATATATCCAAATTTCTGACTCAATCATATTCCTTCTGCTTGTAGAACTTCTTTTAAACTTTTTTTTTTGAGACGGAGTTTCACTCATGTTACCCAGGCTGGAGTGCAATGGCGCAATCTCGGCTCACTACAACCTTCACCTCCTGGGTTCAAGCAATTCTTCTGCCTCAGCCTCCCAGGCAGCTGGGATTACTGCTCACCACCATGCCTGGCTAATTTTTGTATTTTTAGTAGAGACAGGATTTCACCATGTTGACGAGGCTGGTCTTGAACTCCTGACCTCAAGTGATCTACCCACCTCAGCCTCCCAAAGTGCTGGGATTACAGGTGTAAGCCACCATGCCCAGCCTAAAATTTCTTTTATAGTAAGGATGCTGTCCATGAGTTCCCCTAGTTTTTGTGTGCCTAAAAAAATCCAATGTTTCTTTTTCTTTTTGAAAAGTATTTTGCTGCTTACAAAATTTTAGCTCGATGATTTTCTTTCAGTGCTCTGAAATTGTTATTCCATTGTCTGCTGGCTAGCACAGTTTCTGAGGAGAAGTGTGCTGTGATTCTTATCCTTGTTCCTCTTTAGGTCAGTTATCTTTTTTCTCTAGCTGCCTTCAAAATTTCCTGTGGGTTTTTTT